ACTGAAAACTCTAAGACATTGTTGAATGAAACTGAAGAACACACAAAGAAATGGAAAGACATTCTGTGCTCATGAACTGGAATTAACGTTGATAAAATGTCCACATTACCTAAAACAACATGCAGATTCAACGCAATCCCTACCAAAATCATCAGAGTTTTCATAGAAATGAAACAAAAACCCCTAAAGCTTATACAGAACCACAAAACCCCAAATAACCAAAGCCAACTCTGAAATAAAATACAAATCAGAAGCTGGAGGTATCACACTCCCTGATTTCAAGTTATACTGCAAAGCTATGGTAATCAAAAGAACATGGTATTGACAGAAAAACAGACGCACAGACCAATGAAACAGAATTCAGAGCCCAGAAATAAATCCACACGTACGTGAACAATTAATGTATAAAAAAGGAGCAATGTACATTCAACAGAGAAATGACAGTCTCTTCAATAAATGGCGCTGGGAAAACTGGACAGCCACATACAAAAGAATGAAACTAGACCACTATCTTACACCATACACAAAATGAATTAGACTTAAATATAAGACCTGAAACCATAAAAAACCCATAGAAGAAAACAGACAGTACACTCTTTAACGAAGGTCTTAGCAATAGAAGAAAACACAGACAGTACTCTTTAACGAAGGTCTTAGCAATATTTTTTTTGGATCTGGCTCCTTAGGCAAGGGAACAAAAGCAAAAATAAACAAATGGGACTACATCAAACTAAAGGGCTTCTGTACAGCAAAGGAAACCATCAACAAAATGAAAAGACAACCTACCAATAACAGAAAAAAATTTGCATATAATATATCCAATAAGAGATTAACATCCAAAACATATAAGGAACTCATACAACTCAACAAAAAGCAAACAACATGATTTAAAAATGGGCAGAACAGCTGAATATACATTTTCCTAAAAATACATACAGATGCCAGCAGGTACATGAAAAGATGCTCAGCATCATTAATTATTAAGGAAAGGCAAATCAAAACCACAATGCAGTATCCCATCACTCTAGTTAGAATGGCTGTTATCAGAAAGACAAGAAATAACAAGTGTTGGAGAGCATATGGAGAAAAGGGAACCCTTGGACACTGTTGGTGGGAATGCAAAATGGTGCAGCCACTATGGAAAACAGTATGCAGATTCCTCAAAAAATTAAAAAATAAAATTACCAGGCTTCCCTGGTGGCGCAGGGGACACGGGTTCGTGCCCCGTTCCAGGAAGATCCCACATGCCGTGGAGTGGCTGGGCCCGTGAGCCATGGCCGCTGAGCCTGCGCGTCCGGAGCACGCAACAGGAGAGGCCACAGCAGGGCGAGGCCCACGTACCGCAAAAAAAAAAAAAAAAAAAAAAAAAAAACCATATAATCTAGCTATTCCACTTGTGGGTATTTATCCAAAGAACATGAAAACACTCATTCAGAAAATCATATGCACCCCTATATTCACAGCAGCATCATTTACAATATCCTAGACATGGAACCAACCTAACTGCCCACTGCCAGATGAATGGATAAAGAAGATGTGGTGTGTGTGCATGTGTGTATACATATGCACACATACACACACACAAACGAAATGGAATACTCCTCAGTCATTAAAAAAAAAAAAAGATGAAATCTTGCCATTTGCAACAATCTGTAAGGAACTTAAGGGTATTATGTGAAGATAAGTTAGATGGACAAACACAAATGTATGATTTCACTCATATGTGGAATATAAAAATAAATGAAGAAAACCAAACAAAAACAAACACACAGATACAGAGAGACAGCAGTGGTTACCAGAAGGGAAGGGGGAGTGTGTGGGAGAATAAAATGGGCAAAGAGAGTCAACTGGTATGGTGATGGACAGATGGAAACTAAACTTTTGATGGTGAGAACACTGTAGTGTATACAGAAGTCAACATATAATGTTATACACCAACGTTATCTCAAGTTTTAAAATAGAAGACATAAGCTGGGAATCTTCTGACCTACTCTTATGCAACACTCAATGATGTTTATGCTAAACTACTTGAACTGGGCCCAGCTATCACGAGTAAATGCTCACAATGCTCACCTTTTACAATCTATTATTCTTCCCTAGCTACACACTCACCCCAAAAAACTTTACTTTTCTAAAAGGAAAAATCCCTCAAACATGTAATAATCTTATATGAGACTTATTAGTCATCCAAATATAAACGAATTTCTGAAATGGTTTTAACAGGAACATATAAATCCTTGGCAATTTCATAATAAATTTGTTAAGATTTATAAAATTTAACTTTTCCGTTAGCAGAATCTTATAAATACTGAAGAGGGAAAAAGGTCCTTTGGGTGACAATGCTGTGAGATGAAAACAATAAGATAAAGTAATCAAATACTGGGTAACTCCTTTAAAATAGTGTTATTACTTCAAAACATGTTATTCATATCATAAATATAACTGAGGTCTTAATTACTTTAAAAATGGGCTCTACAAATATGTGTGTGTATATGAATCACTTTGCTGTACACGAGAAACTAACACAACATTGTAAATCAACTATACTTCAATTAAAAAGGGAGGAGGGGCCTCTACAAAAACATGATTGAGGACATTTTTAACAAAATTAAACAAACTAAAAATACTTACAACTGAGCATGTAAAAATGTAACATCAATAATTCTTTCCATTGAGAATGTTTAGACAAATTGAAATATAGTTCCCTTTATAGGTTCATATATAAAGTTAAATATTATCACAGAGTGTGGTTTAAGCCAGATTGCTTCAACCAGTACTCTCCAAAATACCTTTAACAAGTATTCACTTACAATACTCATTCAACAAATATTTCAGAGACTAATTTTGTACCATGCATCATGCTAGGGACTAGCTATGGCAGAAACACTGAAAACAAATTTGTAGTGGTATTACAACGCACATTTATTTCCTCTCTCACGCGGTGAAAAGTTGTTTGGCATAGTAGAAAGATATTGACATAGAAAAATATATGGGTTGCAATTCCTGCTCTAACTGGTTACAAGTCCTTTTTAATTTCCAGAGTAATAGAACCATGTGTTATATACCAGGCAAATCTGATTCAGAGAATGAACTGGACTATGTAAACAATTTTTTTAAATTTTAATTTAAAATAATACATCATTTTGTCACATTCTTAAGGCTACTGAAGCTCATACCATTAGAAATGACAAAGACTCTAACCCTTAAAAAAAAAAAAATCCTCAAACCTTATTTATATTAAAGTTATAGTGTTGGAAGTGCAAAACATTCTCCACTAGGTCAGATTCTTTAATAATTAAAAAAGAAAAATATGTAAGACGTTTTCTTTAAAAATCTTACCGTTTAAGAAATACTTTATACATTTTTAGAATAGAAAAATATTTTTCATTGAAACCCAAAACAGTGCCACTCTCAAAAAAAAAAAAAAAACCAAAACCCCAAGACATTCAAATGACATATATTATTCAACTCCCTTTTTAATAAATATATATATAAGCATCTCCTTATAGGTCTGCAACCCTAGGCCTTGTTATACAGATATCAGTTTTTCAAATTGAGAATCTACCTAAACTAAGAATTTCTCTTTGTCTTTTAGAGAACTTATGCAGAGGTATTAAAGACAAAAAGAAAAAAATAGTTGTAACCATATAAAAAGCCCCCCATCAACTATTTTAAAGACTTAAACCATAGTTTCCCATTTTTATATTTTATTCAAATAGCTAACACTTTCATTAACCATACAGTATTAAAAAAAGAATTCAAACAGCAAACAATAAAAGAGGTCTTAAATAACTGTGGCAAATTCTATCCTTTTAAGAGTACTTGCATATTTAAAACACTTTATTAAGGTGTGAAAGGGAAAAAAGTTTCACAAAGGTTTACTGACGTGATTATCAATGCTTTCAAATGAGAGTAAAACAAATCTTAAAATACACATTGAGAGTCAATTACTGTCCATCTTAATTTCCTTTCATCTGAAATTCAGAGGTAATGTGTGTCTACTTTAGGGAAGATTTATATATGAAAAAGTAAGTTTATTAGAAAAATAAACAACTTTAAATTTTACAGTATTTTCCACTTCCAAGATTCTTTCAGATAGAGCAGATGTGCCGTATGATTTAAACACGATCTGATTTATAAAATCTCATTTAGTCCTATTCAGTAAAACAAAATACAAACGGCAAAATGTTAGTAACTATTAAGAACTCCAATGTAAAAGTTAAAAAAAAAAAACCCATCATTTGTTGCATGTACCTAATATGCAATATCTACTCTAAACAGCTCACTGAAATTTAGTGTGCTTATTACCAAGATAATACTATCATATTGAAATATAAGTTGTGCGGTCTACCTTTATTTTTCAAAAAAACTTATCAACTATAAGCAGGGATTGGCAAATTTTTCCTTAAAAGGTGAGACAGTAAGTATTTTAAGTTTGCAGGCAATAAAGTGTCACTACTCAGCTCTGCCACAACAGGGAGAAAGCAGTCACAAGTAAATGAATGGTTATGCCTGTGAGCTGCAGTTTTGCCTGCTGCTGAAAAGACAATGGATTTTGAATAAGAGACTAATTATTTCAGGTGCCATATAACAAATATGCCATATATTGGGGGGCAGAGGGGGCCACAGTGGTGGGAAGAATAATATAGATGGATAGCGATCACTAAATGAACACTATAAAATAAAAATTTCCACACTTGTTTCCCAATCATAATTGCATGTGTGTGTACATGTATACATACAAGTTATAAAACTATTTCATTTTAATTCAATATTCTTTTTGGTGTGTAAATAGTATCAGAACAAAGTCAGATAAGCAGCAGAGTATCTTGAGTGACTGAGTACTCAGAGGCTAATCAATAACCATGAAATTTGGTTTTGACATCTTAGTATTTCTACACAATGGGAAAACTAATCTATTCGCTGTGCCCCTGAAGAAAATAGATGTATATTTTAGATGTTTTAAATTTTAATTGAATTGTTACAATTTTGAAACTAAATGTGATTTGCTTTGTTTTATTAGAAAAAATACTCAGGCAAGGTCTACAATCATCGGTCAATTAAGAATGACTTACAAGAACATGAGGCAATAAAATAAAAATACAGGTACAAACTATATATCTGAAACACTTCTATTTGGCAATTTTAATAACAAATCAAAATTTAAAAAGAACAAAGGAGATTGAAGATTACTTCGTAGATACAGAATAAAGCAACTGATGAAGTGCTTAAGCAAAAGAAAACAAAAAAATAGTAAGAAAACACACTGCTTTTCTTTTTTTTAAAAATAAAACCACATTTGCTACAAGTCATATGAATAATACCCTTATTAAACAACCATTCCAGAATGTCTTATAGAAGCAGTGCTTTTATTTGCACTTCATTTATTTTTATATGTCTCACTTCATGTATATAGCTCTTTACCCCATTGTTAACGAATAAAGTCTCCCATAATTTTTATTATTTTTTTAAAATTTTTTAAAGTAAATGAGAAATGATTTATGTATCATGGAACCTTTCCCATTTTGGAACCAAAAGACTTATTAATTCTATATTTTTGTCTATTCTTTCTTTAAAAAATTTTAGTGTAAAAACTGCTGGTTTTTATATCACTGTAGTAAAGTGAAAACTCCTTAATCAGGAGTATTTTCTGCAGTTTGACTGCATATAACCACATACTTTACAATATGTCCTTCCAACAGTAAGGAAATAATTGATTTCACGGTCACTGTCAGAAATGAGTGCCATAATTCTATTATGGGTATAGGTCCTCCCTCAAAGACTTTCTGGAAGGATGTTCAATGTGTTTTGTTCTTACAGATATTAACAGTAGTACATAGTCCCTTAAGTCTGCAAAAGACATTTATTGTTAAAGAAGGTGCTTTATTAACAATTCCTCTGGCAGCACTAGTGAATTACAATATCCTTCAATATTATCTCTACCCATAATATATACATTTAACTTTTCATGCCTCTAGAAAAACATCTACAGTACATTTCATAATATAAAAATATATTACAAATCTGCTGAATTATTTACAAGCAATGTTCTATTATCTCTATGCAACATTTGTTTGATACAATACTAACAAGTTACACATATTTCCATTTCTGTAAGTTTAAAAAAAAAAATCCATATGGCTTCTTGCTTACCAAGCAAGAAAGTGATTTTATTTTCCTTTTCAAAACCAACTTTGGTGCATAAAGGATTCAGTTTGAAGATACTTTTAAAAAAAATACAATTTTTCTTATGTTAAGAAAAAACAACTCATAAACCAAATGCTTTCCTCAGGAAAAAAAAAAAAAATTAGAGGCTTATATAGGTTAAAATGAAAATATGAGGATTATTCAAATAATTTGAAATAAAGGTTTTTCAAAAACCGTTAACAGATTAGTTATATAGGTAAATATTAACATACTGTACTCCATGAGAAAACCCTAGTCCTGAAAGGGGAGCCACCAGACATACTGCAACACTCTTTAACAGAAATTTTCAGCCCTAATTCGATAGACGAATTTTTAGTTGATTGCAAATGTCGTTCACTGTTTGCTTAAATACAAATTGAACACTTTTCTTATCAGAGTTCTGCAAAAGAACACAAATGGCAACCAATCACATCTATTTATCATAATTGAAAGGTAAATTATCTTTTGATAATTTTCATTGTCTAAATATTTCCTTATATGACTTCAAATCAATAGACACTGTCAAGACAAATATCCTTACAGTGCTTTTGGTATTTTTAAGGGCACATGTTGTAATTGGTTTTCTTTTCAATATAAACTACTGTAATCACTAAAGGGTTAAAAAAAAAAAAAAAAAAAAAAGGGCAGCTTAAAGCAGCAAGCATGCAAAGCCTTTAAGAAGCTGTTCTACTAAGTTGCCAGAAGAGTGTTTGCTCAGTCTCCCACAGTACCATTCCATGAAAATGTGGATATACAGTAATATATTAATATATTCCACAGAAGAGCCTACTTCATTCACAGAATGTTTACACTAAGCATAAATATTATTCTAAATACTGGATTTAAGGAAAAAAAAGGAAGGGGGTTGACTCTAATGTGCAACTTTTTACTAAACCCATTGTCAGTGACTAAGACTGCAGGTGTCCCCGCTTGTTTGCTTTTTTATGTATTTATTTATTTTTTACCTCTTCAACCTCTTCTGCGGCATTGTTCTAGAAAAAGAGAAAAAGGAGTATTCTTTTATTCAATTGAATGAAAAACACATTAAGTGCTTCAAAAATACAAATATGTATAAGAAATAGGCAATGTGATGATCACTGATCACCATGAAAATTTATTTCCAAAGCATTCACAAGATGGATATAAATTTAGTTACATAATATACATAGCTTGTTAAGAAATCCTTTTTATGTAGCCTGATAATGTGTTTCTAAAAAAGAATCTCATGTTTAACACATACATTTTAACCATACTTTAAAACTAATGTTTAAACCTCAAACAAATATGTCCTTTTTACTCTCATTTTGAAGTTAATATATTTTTGGAAGGTTTGTCATGCTTTCATTTTGAGATGTGCATAAGCTGTAAGTTATTTCTCCTGAAACAAATTAGAATAATTGCTTTGTCCCCTCTTAATTTCACAAGTTTTCCCAGTCAAAATCCAGGCATTGCTAAGATGTTACACCACAGCAAATGTAGTGGGTTCTAGGACTCTGTACCACTTTAGAGTAGACTTGATTCTAATTTCCAAAATAGTAGAAGCATGAAAGTTTAGACTCAAGATTAAATGTTAAGATGGGGTGGAAGGCGGTTTACAGCTAAAGAAAATTAACACCACAGAAGCACCAAATATATCTTAAGAACATCTTCATAACTCCAGTAATCAGTAATAATTGCAGAATTATACTCTGAAAACAGTTGATGCAAGTCCTATGTACTTCTGGACATCAGTTCTGAGCTTGAATGATATTTATTTGTCACTTTCACCAAAATATCTTAATTGTTTCCTATATAGCATAAGAACAGCAAAAATAAGCTGATTCTGTGAAAAAGGAAGACCCTTTGAGAGTGGGAAGTAGAAGGCAGGGCAGAAACACAGAAGTTAGTCTCAATCTTATAATTAAGATTCATGCCCCTTTGTCAACTTACTGCTTAAGGCATGTTTACTACCAGTCTTGGCTCTCCCCAAATACCACTCTTTTAGAATGCAAATTTTAATCACTCCCTTCAAAGAATAAGCAGAAATAAACCCTCAATTAGGTGCCAATAAATAAAGAATATTCAATTATTTTTCTTTATAAAGAGAAAAGTAAATCATAACTCTCTTATTTTTGGTAGTGAATGTCCCTCAATCTTTTCCTTTAAGGTCATTTCACTACTCTCTCTGCTAGTCAATTTCTTGCTAACCTAGCTCAACCCACAAAAAACAAGTTTTCATTACATTTAGGACCTTCACCAAAAGATGCTTTAAAAGCTTGGAAGAGTCTCAATGTTTCCACACATGACAAGGTCCATTATGTGAGAATTTCATTCTCAGAAGATGCTTCACATTCCAAAAAGTTGAGTCATGGAATGAACAAAACCTTCAAAGTATTTAATTGTTTCAAAATTTGGCATAAGACATAGTACCTTTACAATAGCTAAAATTCACATTTGGGATTATCAATTATTATATCATCTTACTCTTACCCAACCTATTGCTATACTAAACTAGAATTCCTTTTTAAAATATATAAAGTTCACTCATTAAGAGTGCCTTTTAAACATTTTCACCACGTTTTTAATCACCCTAGTATATGTCATGTGGATAGAGGCAGTATGGAGTTCAGTCACATCCTAGTTGTGTAACCTCTTGCCTCAGATTCAAGCTATTTAACCTCTTGCCTCAGATTTCCAATCTGTAAAACAGACACAGGAACACCTACTTCACAGGACTGCTGTGAGGATGAAGTATATGTAAAGCACCTAGCACAGTGACTCAGCACATAGCCAGTAATGTTGGTCTCTTCTCCTTCCCCCCCTATACCTTCATATGCACAGCACACTAAAACAAAGGTCAGATCAGAAAATTGTTAGAAACGTGAACACTCCGAGGTACCTCTTAAATAAAAACACAGTAATATTTAAAATGCTCTTTTGAAAAGTCTGGCGAGAGTACAAGTTTAAGAACTTCAACCATTAATGGTATTTAGGGCACATGCGATATATTCCCAGGTCAACACGTGTGATATCATAAAAAAGAATTACCTACTTCAACAGAAGGAATTTATTTTCAAAATACTATGTATATCACAATTTAAGCTACTTAAGGTAAATTAGGAATAACCTGGCATACAAACTTTACCAAAATATTACCCTTCTAGTCTACAATTTATAAATCACTGTGATGTAACTGCCATATATGAAACTCCAGAAAGCAAGATATGCTTGATACTGAAATTCAGTACTTAAAAATTAAGTCCTAACTTTATATCCAAAATTTAAGGAGATTTAAGATTACAATTCAAAAAAATAAAACATCAAAGCAAGAATTAAATTACCTGTATATGTTTGGGTCCAAAAGCAAGGCAGTATCTTTGGGTAGCTTTGATAAATGAACTACTTTAGTTTTTAACTGATGTCGTTCACTTTCATTCACCCACACGTCAGGCAGACTATGAATTAAAAAACAAGTCATATATAAAATAACATTAATTTTAAATTTACCCTTCACATTACCCAGCTTTTTCTGCTAGTCTGACTGGGGCACCTAGGTTAACGAGCTTCTCAGATGGCAAGGAAACTGTGATCTAAGTAGTGGGATGTAGATAGAGTCCCAGCTAAAAAATGGCAAGGTGAAATTTTAGGCATAAATCTGGAAATGAATTATGATCTTTTTTTTTTTTTTTTTTCGGTACGCGGGCCTCTCACTGTTGTGGCCTCTCCTGTTGCGGAGCACAGGCTCTGGATCCGCAGGCTCACGGGGCCCAGCCGCTCCGCGGTATGTGGGATCTTCCCAGAACGGGGCACAAACCCGTGTCCCCTGCATCAGCAGGCGGACTCTCAACCACTGCGCCACCAGGGAAGCCCTGAATTATGAATTTTTGATGGCAAAGCCACATCAAACTTAGAAACAAATATTAGAACACACTGTCTGCCTTTTAGTTTGCTAAGTGGAACTATATCTGAGCTTAACTTGATGAAAATCTGACACCTAGTTTCTTTCTGAAGAAATAATAAATAAAAACCCCACCAGATTAATTTCCACTTTTTAAAAAAGGCACATACAACCAAAATCCTGAACTAAAAAAAATTTAATCCTATAGAAAAATTCAAATAAAATGATTTTGATATTTGGATTGATCGATTTCCAAAATACTAAGAATACAGATATTTGAATATGATATTTTTTAAAGGAACTCTTTATAAACAATATAAAAAGGGCTCTTACAAATCAATATGAAACAAGTGAACACTCATTAGGTAAAAAGGAACAAGGGAGACAAAGGTCACAAACCATTAATTCACCAAAGATACAGTTTTTAAATTATCTTGCTCATAATCGAAGAAATGAAAAATGTAAGAATGCCAATAGCCAGTGTTGATAATAAGCCAGGGAAATAAGCTCTCTAATGCAGTAGATGAGATCAGAAATTGGTACAAACTTTCAGGAAGGCGATGCGTATCAAAACCCATAACATTTTGCATACTTTGTAAATAAAGACATTTTAATGTCTCTTTTTTTAACAGTAGAGAAAAATGGATAACTTTAATGTTCGGTAAAAAGGAGTTCATTAAATAAATTTTACGCGCTATTTCAAAATATTTTAGAGTAGCATTTCCCTAAAACCTGGAAGGGGTGGGGGTAAAAGGAAGTGGAAAATATGTTCTACACTAATAGAAGTTTGACAATCACAGGAATTTTAAAAAGCTAAAGAGATTTCTTTACTTCAATATGCTAATATGCACTGTAATCTTCCAAATCTATTTTTAAAGCTCTTAACTCACATCAGATTCATTAACATCTCTTTAGACTGGAGTTTGGGAAACAATATTACAGAAAAATATTTAATAACAAGTATTAACCACATATTATTAATTTTTAATGAGATTCCATTCATTTGAACTTATTCTATTCTTGATGCTGATAAGATTTCTATGATACATCTTCATTACCTTTTGCAACAACAAAAATAATTATTTTTGAGAATAAAAGGAAAATTGAGCATGAAATTAAATTAAGGAGCATTTGGACCAGAACTGCTCTAATAAAAGGGTACTAAAACTCAAAAGAAAAATTTAACACTCCTGGAAAACTGACCAACTGTTTTTTTCTATAAACTATCATTAACTGTGTGCTGGAAAATGTTTAGAAATTTTTAAAATAAATGATTCAAACAAAGGCACAACTAAGGTTGCTTGCACCCTATACTACTTGAGGGTCATTAAAAATTCTAAAAATAATCACATCCTAAAAATGATTAAAAATTGCTTTAACAGCTTCCATTAAAAACAATTTTAAAAGCTAGTTTTTAAAGCTTATACCTTGAGCCAGGTACTCTTAAGAGCTTTTACAGATTATCTTTTTAAGGCTGATGACCTCAAAAGGTTTCGTGGTTTCACTTCTATAAGTCTTTTACTTTGAACCCAATTGCTTAAGTAATTTTTGAATATAAGATTTTAATAAAAATAAGACTGGGGGCTTCCCTGGTGGCGCAGTGGTTGGGAGTCCGCCTGCCGATGCAGGGGACGCGGGTTCGCGCCCCGGTCCAGGAGGATCCCACATGCCGCGGAGCGGCTGGGCCCGTGAGCCATGGCCGCTGAGCCTGCGCGTCCGGAGCCTGTGCTCCGCGACGGGAGAGGCCACAGCAGTGAGAGGCCCGCGTACCGCAAAATAAATAAATTAATTAATTAATTAATTTAAAAAAAAATAAGACTGATCAGTTTATTAGTTATATATATAGTATTCCAAATACTTACATGTCTTCAGGCATCCAATGAAGCAAAAGTTTTATCTTTCCAGAATCCTCTTTTCTCTTAGCTATTACCTAGTAATGATATAAAAGAAATCATAAAACTATTTGTAAAAGATCATTTTAATATGTTTAAAAAATGCTTTTGGTCCTAATCAAGAACTTAAGTTTTCATGTCCTGGACCAGATATTACCACCACAACATCTTGTTCTGCCCGGTTTGTAGCAATTTCCCACCTTTGATGATATATATTTTCACAAAAGAAAAAGAAAAAAGGAACTGAAGTAGCTTTGTACAGCCAAATACTAAAACCATATTATCTTTGAAAATGCTATTTATTTTACTCTCTACAAAGTCTTTAGCTGAGCCAGACTGCCAACCAAGAACCCATATTGGCTGAAATACTTTTAAAGAACAAATGAACAGTAAAGAAAGAATAATGCTACAAAGGGAGAGGTCTCCTTTTTAGGATTAAGGTATTTGTTGTTTGCTTGGGAGTTTTCTGTTTCTTGGTTGATTTCTGTTATTTTAAATGAAACATTAACCAATCAGTGTTTAGCTCAGTTAGGAATCTACCTAAGTTAAAGTGTGGATCAACCAGAACATAAAGACCTATATAAGTGTAGTAAAAACAATATGCTTGTCACTCATTACCGGATTCAGAAAACTAAGGTAATGATTTGTAAAAATCGATCAAAATGGTATTTTAGTAACTCTTAGAACTGCCATATTAACCAAATTAGCTCTTTAGTGTTTTAATAATCTAATTCTCAATATTTTTACCAAGTTTTACTTCCAAACAGCCTCACAAAGTAATGTTATGTGTCATTCTCAAAACATATTAGAAGTAAAAACAGCACTTCATACAAATATAAAAGTTTCTGGCCCCATTATTTAAAAACCTATAGTTAAGCACCCTAATTCTAGACTCGGTAATGGAATCAATTAAAAAGCTCAAAGACAGATCTGCAGATGCTAAAACAAAGTATCTCTACAAAGAAGTAAGATATAAAAATAATGCAATGCAACCAAGTACAGCAAGCCAACTGACTGGTAACTAGGATTCTGCTGACCTCTTCTGGAGACAGCTCAAAAGAAAATGTTTCAATTAAAGAAGACAAATTAGGCAAACTGCACGGCGTAATACCTCACATAAATACTTTTATGCAAATCTTTTCACTATAAATATGGTTATTTCCTATAAAAGTTAATTTGGTAACTAGGAAGCTTACATTTTCAGATAGCATTGAACATCTGACTACTGTTTAACACAAACTGCCTCCACCACCAACCTTTCCAGTCATACTCATAAAACCTTAGAGAACTTCCTCACCTAGCTCCAAGGAAGACCTTTTCCCATTAGGGATGTTTCTTCCTTCCACTTGCCCCAGGAAAAAGCATTCTTCAGATTATACTACACCTTTATGACTTTTCTTCAATCAAGGTACCTCTGCCACCCCAATGTTGCTTAGGGGTGTGAATCACTCTTATTCCTAGGTTTTTAAAATTTATGATAAACATAGGTAATCAATCATGTTCTTAAATCCTCTCAGATTTTTCCACAGCTCGAAAACTTATTTTCACCTTCAGACTAGTTTCACTCTGAGTAAATTTTAAGTTTTCTTCCAGACTCCTAATATCACATTTCTAGTTCCTTCATTTTTTTGATCATCTTTACTCCTCCCATGGTGAGCCTAAGGATTTCATCCAAAGAGCTGCTCGAATGAAAGCACGAAGTTGATGCTTCATTTTTTAAAACACAACCTTATTTATCATCATCACCTCTATTCCCTAACATGTAGAGATACTTGTTCATTACTAGACCATTATTTCATCAGACTTATTGCCATTTAAATCATTAAATGTTGATAGGCCCCAAACCTCAATCCTTTGATTTCTTCTCTTTTCTATTTAATACTTCCTAGGTGATCTTATCCAATCTGATACCTTTAAATAACACTAATATGCTAGAAAGTTCTATTCTTATCTGTAGCCACACCTTTCCTCTAAGCTCAAACTCTTATATCCTTCTGCCTACATGACAGAAGCACTAGATGTTCTATAGAATGTGCTGAAATTATGGCTCTTGATACTCCCCTCTCCCCGAATCTGCGCACCTCACAGCCTCTATTATATGGCAACTCAATCCTTTTGGCTAGTTGCCCAGGCCAAAAACATTGGAGTCATCCTTTCCTCTCGTTATCATACCTGACATCTGATCCATCCATAATTCTTGTCAATACCACTTTCAAAAGATATCCAGAATCTAACCCTTCTTAGTATCTCCACTTCAACCATTCTGATCTTTTCTCACCTGAGATACTGAAAAGACTGATCCCTTCTCACCCCAACCCTGACCTACAATCTGTTCTCAATACAGAAACCAGAGTAAACACATTAAAACCTGCATGAGAGGAAAGAGATCAGTGAGTTCTCTTAAGGCAGGGGGCAGAGGCCGAGATGAACTACAAAGCTATACCAGGAATGATCTGCATGACAGGACTGTTCTACAGCTCAACTGTGGTGGTGTGGTGGTTTCATAGGTAAGTACAACAGTCAAAGCTCACAGAATTGCATATGTATTTTTTTGGCTGTGCTGCGTGGCTTGCGGGATCTTAGTTCCCTGACCAGGGACAGAACCCAGGCCCAGCAGCGAGAGCCACTGGACCACCAAAGAATTCCCTTGTATACTTTAAATGGGTGAGTCTGTATTTATTATATCTCAATAAAAATTTTATTTAAAAGAAATCACAACAGAGCATGGCTACTCAAACTCCTCCAATGGCTTCCCAATACACGTAGAACAAAAGTCAACGTCTCAGTCCAACAACTGTCCCCATTGCCTCTCCGACTGCTCCTACTTTCTCTGCCTCCCTTGTTTCCTCCAGCCACACTGGCCTCCTCACGGCTTTTCAGACATACTTGCATGTCCCCACTTGAGGATCTTATGCTTGATTTTCCCTCTGGCTATGATGCTCATCCCCCTAATAACTGAATGGCTCATACCCTCACTTCCTTTTAAGTTTTTAATTTTACTAATTTATCTTGTTTATCATGTCTCTTCCACTAGAGTGTAGGCATGGTTTCTTGTTTTGTTTTAGCCCGTTTTGTTCACTGCTGTATCGTTAGTACCTGGCACATGTAGGTGCTCAATATTTAAGTAAATGAACAAATTATCCCTAATGCCAACTCTGGGTTTGGTGACCACATCTTACTGACTAAAAAAGAAAAATAATAATAGAAATCAAACTTATGGTTATCAAAGGGGAGAGGGAGGGAAGGGGGAACAAATTAGAAGTATGGGATTAACAGATACAAAATACTGTATGTAAAACAGATAAGAAACTAGGATTTACTGTATAGCACAGGGAATTATATTCAATATCTTGTCATATCCTCTAATAGAATATAATCTGAAAAAATATACGTGTGTGTATATATGTATATATATACGGCTGAATCACTTTGCTGTACACATGAAACTAACACAATATTGTAAATCAACTATACTTCAATTAAAAAAAACTCATGGATAAGAAAATTAACTTATTTTTTATCTGACATGCTTTTATTCAGTAAGATAATTAAAAGTCTATTTTATCAAATCATGAAATACTTTATGATTACAGTCAATCCTCCACTTATTTCAACTTAGAAAATGATTAATATTTTCTATCTCCGATTAACAATACATAAATGTAAACTTGGACAATAAATGTTAGATTTCAACTTTAAAAAAAAAGAACAATTATAGACCTACCAAGTCATAAACGTATGTTATCAAATTCCAAAGGAGGACTTTAACCATCACTGTTGAGCAAGCTTCTGATCTTGCTGAATCCCAACAAAATTCCCAGCACAGACAGTTTTACTTTGTCTTCATTCTTATTTAGATAACTATATTTACAACATTCTTTAAAAGAGCGTAAGTATGATACAACTTTTCTTAAACCCAAACTCACACCATTATGTGCTCCAATCTCAGAAAAGATTCCCTTTCCTTTGTGTCTAATCTTCTACCTTCTTGTCTGTAATTTTGGGAATCAAAATCAAAATTGGGCATTTTGAATTGGAAGTATACATAAAAGAAAAAATGAAAATACAAGGACACCTCATTATTAGAGGAGATGGGAAGAATAAGAGATTCAAACCAGTAGAGATATCAGTACTGATCTTTTATATTTAAATTCTCATGCATTTTGATTAGAATATAAAAATAAAACCTAAATTTAGTATATTTTCTATTTCAACAGGCAAAATTAAATAATCTCTCTTTCTGGGGATTCAAATCACCAAAAGTCTGGTCTAAAGTTTATTTCTACTAACTGACCTACACCAAACTATAGCAATATAAAGATGACTGGATAATAAAAAATGGCAGGGGGCATGAGAAGAAAGAACAGCTCTCTATTAACTCCTAGTTAACCAAAAATAAATTCATTATTGCCTTTTCAAATTCAATACTTTTCTTTTTCCAAGTAGAACAACATAGTTATTCAACAAATATACTGAGTTCCTACTATGTGTCAGGCACAATTCTAGACACTTGGAATACATTCACAGAACAAAACAGATTAAAATTCCCTCCTTCATGAACCTTTCATTTGATGGAAAGCTTTAACACAAACTTTAGATGTGCATTTTATGGGTGATGGAGGAGCATGCACCACATAGGGATGTGAGTTAAAAGAAGTCTAATGCTCTAACTTTACCTGCAAGGAAGCCAGAGGTCAGAAAAGACACCTAGTTTACTTAAGGTCAGAGACTGATCTTCAAATGCCTAGTAGCCCAAATGCCACCCCAATATTCTTAAATAGTTCAAATTAAAGGCTAAAAAATTCAACATAATCATTAAAATGTCAAATTGTGGGAAATATTTGAAAAATAAAAATCAAATACTTACAGTACTATGAAAAACAACACTGTGTCCCTTCCCTAAACTTTCTATATGAGCTGAGAGGTTAAAGCATATGGCTCGATGTCTTATCGCATCCAGTGTTTGTGCATCGAAGAAATCATGTGGTCGTGCTAAAAGTCAATATAAAAGAGGTAAAGAATATTTAGAAAAATATAACAGTCTCCAAGCAGCCATATTAGTAGTCCATTTTCCACAAAAATATGTAGTAAGTAAAAAAGACTGAAACAACGAATAAGTATCTATCTAGTGTTTAAATGCAAGATTTTCTTTGCTTTCAAAACACAAAACCTAGCTAACAAGGTAAGGATGTACAAAAGCAGAACTCCAACCAATGAGCAAGTGTGGGTTAATTCTGCCCCTTGGTGTGTGAGGTTCTAGCCTCCGACCTCATGACTGCATATTTCAGCTACTATCTTTTTCATGTAATTTTATATTTTACTCCAGCATCTCTCCTGAGCACCAGTCCTACATTTTCAACAAACTGATAAATGTCTCCATCTGTGCACTACACACAGATCTCATTCACCTCAGCCAAACATATGAAATACATTTCATGAACATTTTACATTAATATGTAATCAAAAATTTTTCCGGATTTGACACAGTGGTCATATTATTTTGGAATTTTTGACAAGCATTTTCTTGATTAAGAATAACTCTTCTAACAATAATCTAAGAAAATTATAAATACTGTGTTTTTTTGTTTTTGTTTTCGTTTTTAATTTTTTGGCACTGCTGCCTGGCATGCGGGATGTTAGTACCCCGACCAGGGAGTGAACCTGTGCCCCCTACAGTGGAAGCACAGAGTCTTAACCACTGGACCGCCAAGGAAGTCCCATAAATACATTTTTAATGCCAATGAGTCCACCAAAATTCTTTCTAACTCTCAATGCCACCAGTTATTAGCAACGTGACTTTGCACAAACTGCTTGATCTACCTTAGACTGTTTCCTTATTTGAGAAATGGAAATATAACACCTACAGATTATGAATAAGTAAAATAAATGTATATGAAAAATGCCTTCAGTCATAATGCAGTTTAGATTAATATGCTTACACCATTTTTTAAAAAATAAATTCACAAACTTAGAGTAAGCAATCTTTTAGTATGATCACAACAAAGTTAAACATTGAAGATTTGATAAAAACATTTTTAAAATTTCTATTTTTATCCCACTAATATTATTATAAACGTGTTGTTTTTATTCCTAGTAAAAACACTGTTCAAAGTAAGGAAAAAGAATTTATTATTTTACAGTTGTGGAGCTTTCTAATATATGTAAAATATCTCAAGATCATCTGTAATTAAAAAGTAAATTTGAGGGCTTCCCTAGCTACTAGAGGTAAAACATACATCACTGAATTCTCACAGTGAAAGACCAAGATCCTATCTGTTCATTACTGTTAACAAAAATAGATAAGCAGAGTTGAAGAATGGTAAAAACTGAATTTGCATGAAAGCCCAAGACAAAAACAAAACCATCTAATACACACTGATTTTCAGTGAAACACTTACGTAATGAGCGTCGTCTTTTGTTCTTTAATTTCCTCCTTTTGTTCATTCCAGCTTTAGAAGGAGATTCTTCTTTGGCCTTTGGCTGGCTAGAAACTTTTGACGAGTTCTGCTGACTGAAGTGTGTGGGTACATGGCGAGCTAGCCCTCCCTGAGAAGCAAAGCTGGCATTGCAGCCACCAACAACACACTAAATTAAAAAAAAAAAATGTCAGGGATGCTGTACAGGATAGAAGCAAAATATGAACAAGTGAATATTTCATATTTTCAGAAGTAAATCAGTAACACTACAGAACTAATTCCAGAAAGGATCTATGAGGGACTAGTACAACCCTTGCACTTTATAGGCTGCACAAAATAATACAGATTAAGCAGTGACAGAGCCTGGAAAATTTCAAGACTCCTTAGTTTACTGCTCTTCCCACCATGTGCAAGACAAAAATAGTGGAATCTTCTTCACAGAAAAATCTGGAGTTTAATCACTTTTCTAAGAGGAGCAGTAAGTTGTTTTCACATCAAAGAATAAGATAATCGAACAATTACTGGGATTCCTGGATTTTCAGTTATTTTTATTTTAAGATACATGCTACTTCAGGGAGTTCCCCAGTGGCCTAGTGGTTATGATTCCGGGCTTTCACCGAGTTCAATCCCTGGTCAGGGAACTGAGATCCCGCAAGCTGCGGAGCCACAAGAAAAAAAAAAAAAAAAAAATATATGCTATAACGATCCCCAAATAGCAAAATCCACAGCTGGATTGCTGGTGGCCTTCTATTAGTAATTTATTGAAGTTGCTTAGTTTCTGACTTGAAAACAAAACCTCAAGTACGCAAATTTGCCACGTATGCTACTAAATGTATCCATCACATTATTCCCAGGTGGTTCAACTTAATTACATTTTTCTAGATAATACCACAAAAAAAATCCACATGCTTCCAGGCTCTTTCTTTCAATCTAGGTACCGTACCTCTACCATTTTAAACTTCTAAAATCACACTACAACCCTCTCTTAGTTGAGATTATAACTTTATTCACAAAATCTCTCTAAATCTGCCCACGTGAAAGGGAGCTCATCCTCTTTTGAGGACATCCTCACACTTTCAGAGCATAATTAGATAATTTATCCTAACTCATCTTTTCCATGCATTTTGAAGGCAGGAACATACTTTCATGAATATATATATATTACCAGAAGCATCTTGCAAATCACAGGTATTTCTAAATACACTGGCTTATAGATTCTGATAAAAATCAATGCTAAGACATTTCACAGCAAAATCCTTATATAGTGCCATTAATAATTATTCTATTTATTTCAATATACAAGAGACATGTTATGGGCTCTAACTGTACTCAGAATTGCTAACAAAAGGTTAAGAGGCAGAGGAATGACTCAAGATTTTAGTTCAAATACTTACCTATTCTATATTCAGTACTATGTAAGATGCTAGAAGTATAAGGATGATTAAGATACAGTTCTTGCCCTGAAAGTGCTTACATGGGATCTGCAAGACATACCTACAAAGCAACAACTTCAAAGGACTACAGTCAGGGGTAAGGCACACAGTGTTATGGGAACCCTGAAAAGAAGCAATTAGCCATATTCAGTGCTTACCAATTCATTTAATTCTTACAATCCTATCAATAGTGTGGTCCTCAGATAGCCTACATCAAGAATGTTCAGCTACAGATTCTGACCATGAGAAGTTTAGCATCTAACAGATGCTGAATTCTTAGAATTTAAAAACTTACTACATGTATTTTGAGTACCAGAAAAGAATAATGGTTTTTAAAGTTTGTCTTCTGTAGATTACCACATTGCCATAGAACACCAGTCTACTACAGAAGCCACTAGCCAGATGCTGCTACTTAACATTTTAAATAAGGCTACTATAAGAAACTGAACTTTTATTTTTATTTAATTTTATTAATTTTTTTGAGGTGAATTTCACATAACATACCATATTAAAGTATACAATTCAGTGGTATTCAGTGTATTCACAATGTATAAACAAATACAAGGTTATACAAGGATAGCTCCACATCCTTGCCTTGTTATTTTCCATTTATTTTATTAAAACCATCCTAGTGAGTATGAAGTGTTATCTCATCATGGTTTTTATTTGTATTTCCTTAATAACTGTTTTAATTTTTAATTTAAAACCTGATATTCAGTTTAACTACTGAAAAACTTTTAAATATGTTTGGAAAACTTGAGTGTGTGAATCTACTACTCCAACTGCAAATTTTATGAAATCTAAATACAGATGAAGATGCGGGGGGCGTTAAGAGTTTGGGATTAACAAATACACACTACTATGTATAAAACAGATAAACAACAAAGCCTACTGTGTAGCAAGGGAACTATATTTAATATCTTGTAATAACCAATAATGGAAAATAATCTGAAAAACAATATATATACATTTTATATATACGTATGCATAACTGAATAACTTTGCTGTACACTTGTAGCTAACACAACACTGTAAATTAACAATACTTCGATTTTTAAAAAATGGTTAAAAAAATAAAATAAAGATGAATTGTTTAGCACCTGAATTAAGAGTGCTGAAGTAGAATTGCCCTAATGGGTTAGTTTTGCACCATCCAATACATTTTAGTCATTAGACACATACAGCTACTGAGCACTTAAATTGTGGCTAGTCCAAATTAAAAAGTGTTGTAAGTATAAAATACACACCAAATTTGGAAGATTTAGTACCAAAAAAGCAGAACATCTTATTAATTATACTGTATATTGATAAGATGCTGAAATGATATAATTGGTTAAGTCAAAGATAAATTATTTTCACTTTTTTCAATTATTTTTAACACAGCACTGGAAAATTTTAAACAACACATTTGGGTCACACATATTTCTATTTTACAGTACTGCCATAGACTAAGCCATGCAGTACTTATTTTTCTTTTCAATTTTAGACGGCATCCCTGTATTTCCTAACACCTATCCTAAAAACATACTTTAGGGCTTCCCTGGTGGCACAGTGGTTAAGAATCTGCCTGCCAATGAGGGGGACACAGGTTCAAGCCCTGGTCCGGGAAGATCCCACATGCCGCAGAGCAGCTAAGCCTGTGCACCACAACTACTGAGCCTGCGCTCTAGAGCGCGCGAGCCACAGCTACTGAGCCTGCGCTCTACAGCCCGCGAGCCACAACTACTGAAACCCGTGTGCCTAGAGCCTGTGCTCTGCAACGAGAAGCCACCGCAATGAGAAGCCCACACACCACAATGAAGAGTAGCCCCCGCTCACCGCAACTAGAGAAAGCCCACGTGCCAGCAACGAAGACCCAACGCAGCCAATAATAAATGAAATAAATAAATTTTAAAAATAAATGAATAAATAATAAAAACATACTTTAAATAAGCATAATTTGTGTCCCATGTGTCAAGATACTTCAAGGAATACAATATAAATAAAACAGTCTTTGCCCTTGGATTCCCAGTTTAGTACTGGTTATTCAAAAAACTTTGTTGAGAAACTCCACATTTCAAATTTTAGAACTGCTTGCTACGTGACTACAGTTAAAGCAGCAATGATAATAACAGTTCAGATCCAAGTCCTCAGGTTTAAACTGAAAGGGATTTTGTGATATGAATCCACCCAGGATTATCCTTAATTACAAGGGCCCAAACAGGCTAACAGATTCATTTTGTCCTGGGTTCCTTCAAAACTGTAAAGAATAAGCCCTGGTAGTATCTAGAAGTGAGAGAGTAAATATCGCCAAGTTTATTTTAATCCGCAATGATTCAAAGCTCAGGACATAAAATCAATAATGAGAATTCTAATAGAAAATTGTTTTATCTTTGATTTTGATTATTCATCAGTCAAGAATAAAAAATAAATCTAAAAAAGAAAATATAGAAAGTACAATGAGAATTTAGAATGAGAGAAAAAGAGTACTTTTAATGAAAAGCAATACAACAGAATCACACACCTTTCACTAAAATACAAATTCTTTTACCCTAATAGAGAAAGTAATTTTAAGCACCATCTAATCAATATTCCACTCATTTAGTGTCTATCCCAGAGAACAAGGTGAGAGACAAATCTGCTGCCTCAAATGGTCTTAGTACCTTCACTCCTCTTAACACAAGCATTTCATGGTGCTGAGTGATCTTACTGTTCAAATATTCAATGTTTCACCCACACATACAACAATGACTACAGAACTCAAGCTACCACACATGGTGCTCTGGTTTAAAAAAAAAAAGCCTGTTTCAACAATCAGGGAAAAAACTGGTTGTTGGACATTGAGTGTTTTAAATGTTCTGTCTCCCAAATCCACTGAAACATTCAATATGTCAGCTACTCTTGTGGGCAAGTAGCTGTTATAAAATTTGAAACGTGGAATGAGTTTTTTCAAACAGATTTGTTCAAATGAAGCAACACTAAGACTGTCTTTGCTAGTACAAAGACTGTCTTATTCATACTCATATTCCCATTAAATAGTATGAAAATCTACAAGGGGCGACTGAAACATAGAGCAGAAAACACCAGTTTCACAGGAGACATGGTAGTATTTATTAGCAGGTAATCTAAAGGAAAACAAAAATTTCAGGTAGAAACGTTGGTTTCTTAGTTTTGACAAATGCACCACAGAATGTGAGATGATAAGATCAGGGGAAAAAACTTGGGTGATGGTACATGGGTACCCTCTGTACCATCTTTGCAACCTTTCTGTAACTCTAAAATCTTTCCAAAACAAAAAGCTTTTAAGATTCTCAGGTAGAAAGCACAGCCTATACAAAAGCACAGTGAGGGCAAAATGTGACCCATTTGAGATCTACAAGTAATATGGTATGGCTGGAACACAATTTCCTATGAAGGTAAAGTAAGGGAATGAATGAGAGTAGAGAAGCAGGTGAATATCAGATATGATATTATGCATCAGGCTAAGCAATAGATTTTAATTTAGAGAGGAGTTATCAAGGATTTCAAATAGTAATAACTAAGTGAACCTTAGAAGAACTGGGAATAATAGAGTGAGAAGTAGTAATAATATTCAAAATACCCTGAGAGGCAAAGCAAATCGATAGGATTTGCTAATGCATGGGGTGGGGGGGGCAGTATAGGAAAAGTTAAGAGAAGAATCAAGAATATTTCAGGGCTCTTAAAGTCAGGGTAAGTGGATGGAAGATCTTACTATTTACTGAGTCTAAAATAGAAC